GACATAGTATCAATTCTATATAAATTATTTCAGAAAACAGGAGAGAAGGTGATACTTCCCAAGTAACTTGTAAGATTAGCATTGCACTAATTTCAAAACCAGACAAAGACATTACAAGAAAACAACAGGCCAACATCCCTTATCGACATAGACATAAAAATCCTTGACCAAAATTCAGTAAATTAAATTCAACAATATATAAAAAGACCATACACCATGATCAAGTAGGGTTTATTCCAGGAATGCAAAATTAGTATAACATTTAAAAAATCAGTGCAATTTATGGTACTAACAATAAGGGAGAACATCACATAATCATTTCAATAGATGAAGAAAAAACATTTGACAAAATTCAATACTTATTTGTGGGAAAAACTCTCAGTAAATTACGAATATAAGGGAACTTCTTCAACCTAATAAAACATTTTTGAAAAATCTACAGCTAAAGTAGTATAAATATTTTTGTTACTGAGCCTATGTGCGTGCGTGTGCGCATACACACACACACACACACACACACACACACACACACACACACACACACACACACACTCCCTTACTCTATCCTAGATCATGGGATCTAGATAGTGTTCCCAGACTACAGAACATTCTTATACATAAAAGTAAAAGATTAAGTGCTTTCCTCCTATGATTGGGAACAAGACAAAAATATTCACCCACCACTTCTACTCAGTGTTGCATTGGAAGTACCAACCAGTGCAATAAGGTAAGAAAAAAAAAGGCAAGAAGATTGTACAAGAAGTAAAACTCTATATCCAAGGATGACATGTTTACATATATGGATCATGCTAAATAATCTACAAAAGAGCTACTAGGGCTAATAAGTGAGTTTAGCAAGGTTACATTATTCAAGATCAATATAAAAAGTCAATTGTATTTCAATATTCTGGCAACAAACAATTGGAAATTGAAATAAAAAATACAATTTACAACAGCATCAAAATCATGAAATACAGTACTTGGGAATAAATTTTACAAAATTTGTACAAGACCTGTTCACTAAGGAGTATAAATTAAAATTTGGAATTAAAGGAGACCCAAGTAAGTAGAAAAAAGCAGTAAATTCATGGCTTGAAAGATTAAATATTACAAAGCTATTCCTCCCTAAATCGATCTATAGATTTAGTGAAATCTATAGGTTGCACTGTAAGACTGTTTTATATGAGTCAAATACTTGATTACAATTTTACTTAATTCTTTTTAATGGCTCCATATATTCCCTAATATGAATGAGGTATAGCTTATTAATTATCCCACACAAAGCAGTCTGGTAAAGTAGCATAAATATTTTTGTTAGTATATCTACCTGTGTGTGTACGTATATGTTGCCTTACTCTATCATGGTCATGGGATTTAAATAGTGTTACTAGACTACAGAACATTCTTTTACATAATAGTCCAGGTGATTGTGCAGAATTAGTCATGTACTAGCTTTTTTATGGGATCATGTCACCTTTGGCTTTCCCTATTTTAGAGATACCTGAGTCAGTCATAAATATAAGCTCCATTCCTCTCACCTTTCCCAGTTGGGCTCAACTTTTCTCCCAGCTGGGATTGCCTCCTTATTCCATGCTTTGCTAGCTCCCCTCTCCCTAATGTCTGGGCTGAGACTAACTCCCTGATGCTTTATGGCATCACTGGCTTTAGGGAATCATCAGTTTTCATCTCATGAGGGCTATGCTTGAAGTCTTACCCCTAGTCACTTCTAATATTTGGGCTGCCTTCCCGACTCCCTTCCCTGCATTGGTAATCTAGTGTTTTCCCATAGATGCACCTGTTTCCCACAGCTGGGATACCTGGTACTTGTGAAGGATAGGAAGTTGTTACTAATGTTAAATTGTGCTCCCAGAGAAAGGATAGATTATACTTCCAGTTCTTTCATCTTAAAATAGATGTTTCCCAATGTGAATATTGAGGCACTTATTTAAATGATCATTTATTCAGTTGATTTAACGAATGAACACCAACTAGGTGGGTGTCTAACACTTAAGTTAAGCACTGAGGGGGATGCACACAACCAAAACACAGATGACCAAATGGATGATACAGACTGTAAGTGCTGTAGGAGTATACTTGAACTTCTTAACAGGTATGCAAACTTCTCACTGGTTCCATGAAGCACTAGGCCTTTTCCAATCTCTGTTCCCTCTGCTTGGATGCCTTTTCCTCCTTCTTTACCCAGCAGACTCCCAATCAATCATTAAAATTCGGTTCAAAGTCTTATGAAAACATTTCCCCTATAGTCCTCATCTGTCCTGGATTTGAGCATATTGTTCTGTCATCTTTATTAGATGGTGAGATTTTTTAGGGCACTTTGTGTCTCTGAATCCAGGCCTGAATAGGGTCTGGCAATAGTAGGGTCTCAATAAATATTTGTTAAATGAAGGAAGGAATAAGTGAACACTAAGGAAGAGCTTAAAGGGGCTCGGTACATTTAGGTAAGGGTTTTTGACAGTACCTAGGAAGACAGTAGACCTAGGAAGACAGTAAAGAAGTGGGGAAAGGGCATTTGGCGGAAGAGGATTATTATGCTAGGAGACAGAAGAGCAAAAGCCCAAGACTGAGAACACAGAGTGAGATGGGCAGCCAGGCTGAAGCTGACTGCTGCATTATCTTGACCTTTTCACCTATTAGATTTATCAGTTATATTTTCAGCTCTCAGAGGACAGAATATTTTGTTTACTCTTTTGTATCTCCTTTATATTTAATGCACATTTCCACAGTCACAAGTCCTACTGGCTTATGGTTCTTTTTATGCTCTGTATTATAATTACTTGTATTTGCAGTTCTTCCCAACACTGACATCACCCTCCCTCTACAGCTGCTTGAGGTAGAGGATGAGGTTTTACTGTCTTTGCATCTTCCAAGACACCTAGTATGATGCTTGGCACACAATGGGTGCTCAGCAAATATTTTTTGATCTGTCATTTGTTGATCTGATTTCAGAGGACCACAAGGATATTTGTGTGCAACTGTGTATTGTGACACAAAACTTATACATGCCTTCATACTGTGTAGTCTATTTTTGGCTATTTTCATTACAATGTTATCTTATTGTACCTGGAAAACTGTCATTTCAATTTTCTTCTTTGTTCCTTCTTGTATGACTCACATCTCTTAAACCAGAAGGATATGACAGAAAAGATTCACAAAGGGTTTGGACAAATTTACAAACGACATAGTCATAAATTCTGGGTATAAGAAGTGGGGAGCATGCAAATGGAAAGAGAGAACTTGTACTTCAAAAGTGTCTGTTGGGTGCCAGGAACAATGTGTTAGGCACGTGACATATACTATATCTCATTTAATCTTGCAGAGTATTCCAGTATAAAGATAGAACGTCTCTCTATCAATAAGGCCAAGCCCAAATCTATTCAAGCACATAGCTTCTAGGTACCAGAGGCAGTGTTTATCTTTATTAAAATTTTATCAATCTTTTAACACAGATGAATCTTTGCATTTAATTTTGCTTCTTAGGAACAGAACATTCATTCTCAATTCAGGTTTCTACAGATTAAAACTTCTTCCTATGTAAACCTCTGGCCCAGCCTTGGCAGTCTCTGTTTTTGGGCTCCTGGCAGCCCTCTTGGTGGGGGTGTCTGCCTGGCAACCCACTTGGGGCCCTCTCTTGGGCCCTCTCTAGCTATGAGAGCTGCTAACACTTGCTTCCTGAATAAACTTCGACTTGCTTGCCAAAAATAAATAAATAAAACTTCTTCCTGACATAACCTGATCAGTTTATAAAGTCCCAGAGCTTTAAATTACAATGCAATCTGAGATATTCCCATAGCAATAACAGCGATTAGATTTGTTCACAGCACTTACCTTTATATTTCATTAAGCTTCCAAATACTGAATAAAGGTAAGTCAAAAAAAAGAGACTTCTATTAACCCTGACATCAGCAAATTGTCTCAAATTATAGCATGCCTTACATTTGTATTCTAGACACACTGGTTTTTCTGAGATACATATTATCACTCACCTGAGGTTAGAAGAAAAATTAGAAGGGAATTAGTTTAAGTTGTTTCTAATTTAAAAAAATAATAATAACTTTAAAAGGCATCATGTTCCCAAGTATACAGTTTCTGCATCTGGCAGAAATCATAACATTATAACCAAAGTAGCATCCCTAATCCTTGGGAAATAAAGAGGTTGAAAAAGTGGGGCTGCATGTACTGGTCTGTTATTTTAAGTCATCCAGTCTAAGGTCTGTAGCTACACATTCGGATCTGTAATAATATGCTTCCTGCTGGGTGGGGAAATGTGATGGGTGGGAACAGAAGGGATACGCCTTTGGATTAATGATTATCAGACAGTCATAGGTCCCAGACAGCTTTCCTTTAACTTGTTTTGGGAAAACTAGAACAGATATCTTAGCTTTGGAAAGTGTAAAGCCCATCTTGTATGACTAAAGAAAATGGCAAGGGCTTAAATGACATTTCACATTTTGGATGGTCCTGTCCCACCCTCTGTGGGCTACTTAATTGCTGAAAAACATCAGACCTGTCTTTGTGGTAATTATGTATTTCTTAAATTTTACATTAGTCAAAGAAAATTGAGAGAACAGGACTACTTTCAAAGTACATGTGGCACATACCACCTATGGGACTGCTAAAAAATACATGAGAACCTAGCATACACATTTAAAACTAGCCCCTTTCTTTTTGAGGCTAGGGGATGAAAACATGCACATATTCCAAAGAGTTCTTTGTGTGTACAGGTGACCCCTTCCCACAGTCTCTGTAATTAATTGAGAAATTAAAGTTGGTTGGCCTTTGAGATTTCTTGTTTAAAAAAAAGGCAGAAGGTCTTGGATATTTTGGAACAAGAGTCCACTATTCTGCCAAGACAGTGTGTTATTGTTACTGAAGTGTCTCTCAACAAAACGGTATTGAGTGGTGAGGACGTGATTTTGATTAGGTGGAATGACTCAGCTCTTCCCTTTAAAGAAGAGAGGACTTGTCATAGCCTTACTTACCTCATGATCTGGGATCTCAGAGGATAGTGTTTTCCCTAGGATGACCCCGGTCAAGTATGTCCAGCATCGGGCTGTATTGGCAAGGTTATAGCCTCCTGTCTCCATCAAGAATTGGGAAGTTAGGAAAGAATAGTCACAAAACAGCAGGAAAGTGGGGGGGGGGGGGTAAGGAAAGAAAAAAGTGTTTTAATAAAAAGACTAAAAAGATAACTCTAACTTGCAGAATTTCCCCTAAACATCCCTTTATGATATTTTTAAACCACCTAGTAGGCAGACTTTGGTGGACCATTCAGATCATGCCCAGTGTGGAACCAAGAAGTTCAAGGTCTATAAAGATTAAAAAGGGTCTCATCTTCCAACAAATAGGCACCCGAGGAATCCAAGCCCCTCAATTCCATCAAGAGACATCATCAAAACTGAGATTCTTGGAACCCTGATCTCTTGAGGTAACCTACCCAACAGAAAGATTTCTGTGATAAATTTTGCAACAATTCTGTAAAATGACTGCTGAATGTGATTTGTATTTTAAAGCTATTGGCAGATCTAATCCTAAAAGCATCCAGGAAAGAGAAAAGGAAAATGCTGACAGAAACATACTTCCTTCTTTTAATATCAGCATTCCTTTTCACCACAAAACATAGGCCTGGTGGCAGAGATCAAAGAGAGTGAGATGAGGACAGGACCGTTGATGGATGCTCTGACCCATCTCGTCAGGTCCTGTCACAGTCACCCAGCAGCCATATTATACTGGCTAATAATCAGCATATTTTTGTGCTGAATAGATGTGCTCTGCCATGCAAGTATTAGAACATTGGCCTTTAGCTAAATTCCAAGAGTATAAGGGTAAAATGGAATGATTTCCTAGCCTCAATGCAGCCTAAGGGAAATAGAATCTGGTCTATTTTAGGTAGGGTGACCATATAAATTATCATCCAAAATGGTATACTTTTTAAAAGTAAAAGAAGACACTATTAATCACTATACTGGAGTAACATATATAAACTGGTCACTCTTTTCTTAAACCTTTCTACCATTTGGAAGGGCAGGAATGTTGGAGCTTTTGGAGTGTGTCTTTTAGGCCTCAGTGGGGTCCACAGAAGCTTGGGGATGTGGCCCTCTCTACCAATTGTCTATGTGTTAATAGGGGCTGGGAATTTCATTTAAGTGATACAGGTTTGCTTTAAACATTCCTGACATGGAAAAACCTGAATTTGTAAGATAGACTTATTTGGCATGATTATTTAATTTCAAAAAGAGTCACTATAGGCTTTGCTTAAGTAGTAAGCTGTCTTTGGTGTACATACAATATGATTTGATATGCAAAAATTCCACTTATCCACAAGTATTTCCAGAAATACACATATTGCATGTGAAGAGTTATATATTTAAAAGCCAAAACTTTGGGCTGAGAAACCAAAAAGGCTTTAGACAATGCTAATGGGCTCTTTAAGTAAAGGCTATAGCCTCAAACAAAAGTCAGATTCTCACAGATGTATGTTGCAGAGAAAGACCTTTCTCCTACCCCTAGCTGTACCTGTACCATAAACACCATCCTTAGTGCCATCAAGTAAAGTGATGTCATGCAGTGCTTAATAACTTCACCTTTTTCTTGAGTTGAAGTTAATATATTTCTTTCCAACTTTTCATAAGAGGTTGTCTCTTTTAAGATTAATTTTAATCTTTCTAGAGTTTGAGGCAGCCACAGGATCAGGCTAGTGTATTTGTGTTGAATGCTCACTCCTTTACATAAGGCCTCCCCATGATTTCCCTAATTTGGTTTTTACAACAGGTTGACAAAACAATCAACTATTAGTTCTTTCATAAGATATGCATTTTAAGCTCAATCTGCTTGATCATGTTATTTTAACACATCAAATCTATTCAAAGATTGTGCCAGGTAGGTAGACAAAAGATTCTAAGCAAGGCATCTTCAAAGATGGTAGATACTGTGAAGAGTTCCCTTCTCAAATGTACAAATTTAAGAAATAGACCCAGCTTTCTGCTGGCTAAATAGTACAAATATCAGTACACACTGAAGATAAGAATGCCCAGGAGACTTTTTGGATCTCTCAATTTTGCTTCATGATAACAAATCCATGCTTTTTAGGGGGAAGAGTCATTCTTACACTTAGTTTTGATCTTTAATTAATTCATGTGATTACTACTTACATAGGAGTAGAGTCGAAATTTCAGTGGTATGTACCCAAAAGAGGATTATCAGAATTGAGAATCAAAGACTACACTGAGAGAAGATGGATCAAAGTCTATTGGGGTTAACATTCTCTGTTCTTAAGATCTGAGGTAACCTTTAACAAAAGGACCTTTGCTTCAGGAATTGAAACTTGGATTTCAGAGTGCCAAAGAGTTGATACACATGCCAAGCTGAGGGAGAGAAGTGTGTCAGAGCACTTCCTTATGCTGAACTGTAGAGGTAGCAGCTTTCATTGACTCAGACTTCTGGGCCATAGGCAGGTTGGTATTATTCGACTGAATGAGAAAGTCAAGTTTTCCTAGCTCACTGCCTACGGACAAAATGTGGAGGAAGATCAACAAATTCTCTTGTTGATCTTCCTTTGTACTCACCTCCTCCCAAAATGAGTGTTGCCAATTGCCACTGAAGGATGTATTTAAGACACTTGCCAATTCCCACTGGAGTCATGTTAAAGGAGCACATGGGATCCCCAGCTATTGTATCAGCTCCCAGCTGTAAGACCACTGCTTTGGGATTAAAGGCTTGATATACCTCCTTTAGTACACTGTAGAAAAGAGAAAGGAAACAAAACATCAGAAAAAGATATATCAGTTTCATGTAGGAGGAGTGGTGGTGGGGGGGGCAAGTTAGAATCATCAAATAGTTAAGGAAAAACAAACAACCTGCAAACTGATCAAACTCTCCATCTAAAAGGGTAAATCAGATTGTATGCAAATGGTACCTTAAAAAACCTGACTTCCAAAAAAATTCCCCCTACCTCCACCCTCACCAATGAACAACACATTTAAATTTCTATTTTAAAAAGGAGACTTTCTTGAAATATTCATATTAATTTAACTTTAACAGCCACAGGACATAGTATACACATTCACTCCATTTTAAAATCTAGGAAAGTAAGACATATACATTGAATAGTTATTAAGGACTCTTTCTAAAAATTTCTGATTAAGACCATACTCAGAGTTTATCACCTGCTTATCAGTGGGGGCTGGGGATGAGAAGTATGCTTTGAAAGCATAGATACAATCAGCTATTTATTATGCAAAAGAACTAGAGGATTATTAAATGCTGTCCTCCCCAAAGTATATGTAACCAGGGTATTATAGGGAAGGGAACTATAACAACAGATCTAAGATTATAAATCTGAAAGCACTCTAAAGAACAAACTAGTGAGTAACAATGAGCATAATTTTGGGTAGAATCATTCAACACTACCCAATCAACCTGTGTTTTTTTTTGATATTTAGAAGCCTTGTAGATTAAAAGAAAGATGCAAAAGTGACAGATGATTAGCCAGGCTCTCAATATTATCATTAATTGAATATTGACAATGTCCAGAATGCATTCCTAGGAGTTATAAGGTCCCTGCTCTCAAGAGGCTTACAATCTACTTTCTAGACAAAACATATACCAGTCCTCAAGGGCCTGCGTAACTCTTATAGAGACATATAAACAAGTGTAAATTAACATACTTCAGATTTGAAAAAATACAGAATCAAAAAGTGATAAAAAATGTTGAGGTTAATGACCCCTGTATACTCAACATGTCAAATTACGCCAGTGCAGCAAACCTAGAAAAATCCCAGATCCTTCTGAAACTGCAAAAGGAATTCAGGGACATAAAACGCTGCCCTCCCAAATTCATATGTAACCAGCTTATTGAAACTATTGAATAGTGTTCAGCCACAAAGGCATGCTTTGACTCAAAGGACTGTTTTGTTTTGATTTCTCATCTACACAGACAAATATTGAGTGATTGTAGAGATTATAAGGATATTATAAAAATTATGACATGTGATCCTTAATACAAGAATACTTGGGCCTATTCTCTCTTTCATGTGCTTATCTCCTGGGTGCAGAGGGAAGATAAGCCACCTGAATAGTTAGACGACATTTATTGAGCATCTACACGTACAGAGCCCCCTATTAGTTGCCGCTGGGAGATGCAGAGGAAGGCGTGATGTCTGTTCTAAAAAGGTTTCTAGCTAAAGGCGGAGGAGGGAGAGGCAAACAAGACTAATGCTCTCTTCATTCATTCTTTCCCTCACTTATCACACATTCACTGAGTACCCACTGTGTGCCCAGCATGTTACTGTACCAGATACCTCAGAAATAAGGATGAATATGGCACAAGACCCTCACGCCTGTAATCCCAGCACTTTGGGAGGTTGAGGAGAGAGGATTGCCTGAACCCAGGGGCTTGGGTAACTTGGCAACACCTTGTCTTTACAACAAATCAAAAAATTAGCCAGGACTGGTAGCGTGGCCAGTGGTTCCAGCTCCTTGGAAGGCTGAGGCAGAAGAATTGCCTGAGCCCAGCAAGTCAAGGCTGCAGTGGCTGTGAGTGTGCCACTGCACTCCAGGCTGAGTGACAGGGTGAGACTCTAACTCAACAAAACAAAACAAAACAAAAAACCCTGTCTTCATACAGCCCAGAATAAAGGGAAAGACACAGACTATGCCAATGAATAATTAAAATACAATGATAAATGAAATATCAGAGATGGCACAGAGGAAGGAGTAATAACTTTTCCAGAGGATTTTAGAAAAGGCTCTGCAGAGGTAACTTCTTAAAAGATGAGAAGAACTATAATGAGCCAACTCTCAAGATGGCTAAAATGAAAAATTGTGGTAACAATTCTTGGTATAGCCATTCTGAAAAATAGTTTGGCAATTCCTGTCAAAACTAAAAATAGACTTACCATAGGCCCAGCAATTGCATTCTTGGGCAATTTATTCCAGAGAAATTAAAATTTTTTCACATAGGAACTTGTATATGAATGTTCATAAGCAGCTTTATTTGTAACAGCTTGCACTGGAAACAACCCAGGTATCAACTGGTAAATGGAACAGAACTAGAATATTGCTCACCAATAAAAAGGAAAAAGTATTGATATATGCAAAAAATTTGGATGGCTCTCAAGGGAATTATGCTGGGTAAATAAGGCCTATCCCAAAAGAATGTATATTGCACGATTCCATTTATATTACATTTGTGAAATAATAACTATAGACCTGGAGAACAAATAGGTGGTTGTCAGAGTTAGGGATGGATGTGGCTATACAGGGGTAGCATGTAGGAGGCTTGTGGTGATGGTATAGTTCTGTATCTTGATTGTGGTTGTAGTTATGTAAGACTACACATATGATAAAATTGCACAGAGTTACACACACACAGGTGTGCATGCATAACTAGTTAGTGAAATCTGAATGAGCTTTATGGATATTACCAATGTCAATTTCTTGATTTTGATGCTGTATTAAAATTGTGTAAGATGTCAACATTGAGGGAGGTTGGAAGAAGGATGCATGGAGCTTCCCTGTACATTTCTTTGCAACCTCCTGTGAATCTGTGATTATTTTGCAATAAAAGGCTTTTAAAAGTGTACAAGTTTATAGGCACGTGGGATGAAGGTAGTAGGGGTGGAGGCAGGAATGGAGGGTGTTATTGGAAGGGGACTAGATTCAGAGAAGAAAGTACACACACAGAAGCATGAAGTCTTAAAACAGGGAGTGGTGGGATGAGGCTAGAAAAGTAAACATAGGTTACTTGTGCCAGCCAGGCTAATGAGTTTGAAATTTTGCTTAAAAGATATGAAATGTCTCAAATGTTGTGAAGTATATGCATGCACGCTCAGGCGTGTGCATGTACGTGTGTGTTGGGGTCATGATTAAATTTCCTTTTTAAAGATACATGAGCTGTGGTGTAGGCTACCCTGAAGGTTGATCAGGGCTTTTACAACCATCCAGGGCAGTGACAGCAAGGATGAATAGGAAAAGATGGATTTGGGAGATATTTCCATGGTAGAATTGATAGGGTAATACCAAGTTACACACAAAAAAGTGTATACATATAACACTTATGAGTGCTTGATAATTAGGACAGAGGAAAGGATAAAGAAAGTGGCTGGGCATGGTGGCCTCACTCCTGTAATCCTAGCACTTTGGGAGGCCGAGGTGGGAGGATCATTTGAGGCCAGGAGTTCAAGACCAGCTTGGGCAACATAGTAAGACCTTGTCTCTACAAAAAATAAATTAGCTGGGTGTGGTGGTGCATGCCTGTAGTTCTAGCTACTCAGAGGCTGAGGTGGACGGATTGCTTGAGCCTAGGAGGTCAAGGCTGCGGTGAGCCGTGATGGTGCCACTGCACTGTACACTGGGTGACAGAATGAGACCCCAACTTGAAAGAAAGAAAAGGAAGGAAGGAAGGGAAAGAAAGAGAGAGAGAGAGAGAGAGAGAGAGAGAGAGAGAGAGAGAGAGAGAGAGAAAGAAAGAAAGTTTCCAGAATACTTGTTTTAATTACAGTCAGGTAGGGAAAATGAGTCCTCAAGGAGTTCTGATTAAAGACGGCTCTGGATAGGTAATGAAAAGACTAATTAGAAGCTTTGAAAAAGGCAGGGCATTTTGTACATAGTACAAACTTCAAAGCAACTGAAGTAAGGACAGCTTATAAAGGGCTGGATGGTGAACACTCTTAAATTTAAGACTAGAAGTTTTCATTTGGTTTGACAGTCAGATGTGATCCACTGGAGAAGTATGAGGTAAGAACTAATGTTGCTGAAAAACTATGCTTAGGAACTTTGATTTTTGCTGTTGCATGTGAAGCCAAAGCAAGAAAGCCTGGAGCCATAGGGGTTAGCAAAAAGGATATTGAAGCATTTTAGGAATGAAGGTAACAGGAAGCAAGGTAAAGTAAATTTGGAAAAAAATGAGAGGGCTAGGCTACAAAATTGGAGTGGAGGGTCAAGGGAGAAAACACATTGTGCCCATTTCTCCAGAATTCCCAGGAGGGAAAAATAAAAATGGAAATATTCTTTTTTCCGGCCGGGCTCAGTGGCTCAGTCTGAAATCCCAGCACTTTGGGAGGCCGAGGCGAGTGGACTGCCTGAGCCCGTGGGTTTGAGACCAGTCTGGGCAACTTGGCAAGTCCTCGTCTCTACAATAAATAAAAAATTAGCTGGGTTTGGTGGCGCGCGCCTGTGGTTCCAGCTACTTGGAAGGCTGAGGCGGAAGGATTGCTGGAGCCCAGCAGGTCAATGCTGGAGTGACTGTGAGCATGCCACTGCACTCCAGCCTGTACAATGGAGTGACACTCTGGCTCAAAAAAAAAAATTCTTTTTTCCTATTGCCACTTCCAAACCCAATAGTCTTTCTTGTCACCAATCTCTCTTCTTTTGAAGCCAATGCCATTTGATTATACTACTCAAATACTATCAAAGTTTGTATCTATAGACCTGCAATGTATTCTTTCACCTTCCTTGAGGATTTTAGCACTTGGTTCAAAATTTTTTTTGTCTCTTCCTTTCCTTGCCATCATTTCCTGCAGTTCATTTATTCATTCAGGCACCTACTATTCCCTATGCGGGGTACTAGAGATAAACAAGATCCAAGGAGCTTATGTTCCATTAGGGGAAGAATACAAGAAAACAAATAACTATACATGCTATCATAGACATTCACTCAACAAATATTAATTGAAAGCCTACTATATTCTAGGTTGGGCAATGGTTCACTGTATTGAACAATAGAGGTCTATTCTTTCC